TAGATAGATAGATAGATAGATAGATAGATAGATAGATAGATAGATAGAATGTGAGTGTGTGTATGTGTGCATGTTTATGTACATGGTGAGGATGCCCTCCCCTAAAAAACAATCTTCTAATGAACAGGAACATCAAAGACTTGAGGAAAATCTTCAGTCCCTGCTGAAGCAGAAGGAGCTGTTGACCCGGCAAAGGGACTTGGCCCTAAAGCTGCAGCATCACTTCACTGTGTCCCAGATGAGGTAGGAGCCCAGGCTTCCAGAGCAGGTGGATCCAAGTGGGTCCAATGTTCCTGGATCTCCATGCTCTTTGAGTTTCGTCAATTAGCAAAGCTGCCAGCCACACGCAGGGAAAGAACCCCTCAGACTGTCATTGCTGGCTCAGTCAACAAGAATTATGACCAGGAAACAATATGCTCTCTCCGTGGTCTTATGGGGATTGTGTCCCCTTCTTCCCTTCTGAGACCTCTAGTATGCTCTGAGTATCTCATCTCTTAGATTAGATCTCCCCACAAAAATTTCCATGGCAGCCAGAAACCTGGAAAGGAGGATCATTGATCATGAAGGAAAGTGTGTCCTCCTGCATCTTTTCCATCAGGAACATCACATTTAGAGAGAAGTGTCCATCCTTTGCAGATTTGCATACAGCACACCCCTGCTGACTGCAGGCTCTCTGCAGTGTTTATCAGTTTCCCATGAGAAGATTTACTCTTGGTCATAAACAGAGTAGGAGCTGACAAGTTAACCCCATGCAGGGTTCTGAGCTGTAGGAATAACCAAAGCATTTTCTGCACTGCTGTGTAGGCTCCATTAGAGGGCAGACAGAGAGTTTTCCAGGAAGTTCACATTCACCTACATCTTTTCTGAACTGTGCCTCAGACCTTGACATACTGATATTTCTCCAAAATGATGTTTTTGGACTGTTGGAGAAATACGCTGTTTTTTTCTAATCCAGCAAAGTGTGTATTTTCCAGTTCAATTTCTAGCAGTTTTTAAAAGCTGAGAAAAAAAATCCTGTCCAGTAGCTCTCTGTCCCTTTTCCCTTGGGGAAGCAGGGAATGAACTCAGCTGAAAGGTAATGCTCGATTGTCTAGCTGAGTAGAGTTGGTGGGGGCTCACAGCTGACATGGCAGGTCCCCACCAGGTTTGTGCCCCAGCTGCCTTCCTCCCCTAGGTTTGAAACCGTCCAGCAGGAACTGGAGCAGACCACAGCCCAGGAAGAGAGCCTCCTGCAGAAGGAGCTGCTGGTGCAGAAACACTATGTTCCAGGCAAGTAAGACACCATTGAGTCCTATCCCCAGCAGCCAGGTTGTTCATGGGGTGTGTTTCCTTCCTTAACTTTTGTTTACTAGGGATGAATAAGCCCTGATTCTTCTTGACAGTGGCAAGCAAAACTGTTTCTGAATCATATTTTCTTTACCGATTTTCCATGACAGCACCTCTTCAGAAAACTGAGAAGGCTGGAAGAAGCCAGAGACACCTTGAAGGCATGACATTCTACATTCCAGGTTCACAGCCTCCTCAGAAAATGCCACCTCTTTTCAGCTGTGAACTCACTAGTGAGGCACATATCAACCTACCATCAGGCAGTCCAGCCACAATCTGATCCACATCCATTGATTCAGTATTCCCAGAGAAAAGATTGTATCAGAAATAGTATGAGATTCAGAGGAAACAACACAAATTACTAAGAACCCTGACATCCATCAGCTCGTGGCCCCAGTGAGGGGCAAAACAACATGGAAGAAGACATGTGGGTGAGCAAGATTTCTTCTGTCAGCTTCCTATCAAGGGCTTTGACAAGCTGATTTCGTATGTGATGGAAATCTGAAAAGGAGGACTGTGGTAACATCACACTGCCATCCAGATAGACCACACCCAAAGCATAAGATTCTCAAGTGCACTGCTGAAGCTGATGCCATGCCATATGCTAGTGTTGCTGAAGATAATTCACTGCAGAGAGTAAGCTAGGTCCTCACCTCATTTGCTCTTCCATAATGAAATTCCAAAGGATCCTGAAATTTGCTTAATTTTTTTTGTTTATATGTTGGGATATTTATGCTTTAGATTTTGGTTTTCTTCATTTTAGTTTAAGGTTTTGTTAGTTTTTGTTATTGGGTTTTAATAGTTTGCTAAGGATGTACATTGTATATAATGACTGCTGTTTTGAAAGACCCCATTGAGTAAAATGAATACATTTTTATGAATAAAATCCAATTTCAGCTTCACTCTGAGACTCTTTTTAGTCAGGTGAGGTTTCAAACTGCTGTAAACCCTGAA